CAGCCCATATGTTTTGTTTATTTTTTTAACTGTTGTCTGAATTTCCAACCTTTGGGAGATGTTAATTGTACCATTAAATCATTAAGTGAGTTCAGAAGATACTAGAATTAGACTTTTTACCTGCTTTCGTTATTGATTATTTATTTAAAAGTTTTTAGTTTGGAAATAAGACCCTTTATTTGGAGTTTATATGGCTAACTCATAATTAGTTGAATGCCCTTAAGTGACTTGAGTTTGTGCTCTTCTGGCTGCAATGGATAGTGCTCGACTCAGTGCTGCCAAGTCCTCTCCCATGATGGAGACAATCAACATGGTGAGTTTCCAAATACAACTTGAAAGCTCATTTGTTTCTCTTTAGGTACAGTTCTTCAAAGACTTCATGTTGTGTAACATGAAACAAACCAAAGGGGGATGCATTGATAAAATACTGTGAATCCAATTTTTCTTTCAAAAATTTTAAGTTTTTAATGGGTATATAAAAATTGTACATATCTTGGACATTTTTCTTAATTACTAATAGAAGTAAATTTTTTGGATAGCAGAATTACATGGAAAACAACCTTAGTCTTATTATTTTAGTAAGGTTCAGAGGCATGCTATTTGTTTATTTTTATTTTATTTTATTTTATTTTTTATTGTCATTACTTTCTGCCTGCTTCTGAGAAATTTCTTTGGAAAAGACCATGAAATTGTAAGCTTTAGAGGTATTTTAATGAAATTAGTAGTACAGAAGATTGGTGTCAGGAACTGAGCAATAGAGATGTGTTTCGGATGTCAGAAACATTGTGTAGTGAAGCATTCATGGTGCTTTGAGGTTCTGAGTACTGCAGTTCTCAGAGTCTTGGCAGAGCTGCCTTCTGGGTACACTTCTGTAGTTACTAGTAAGAGCTTGTTGCTCCTGAGATTGTTTTCTAAGAAGACCACAAACTGGACAAGAATAAGGTTGTTAGTGTCACTGGGGACCATTGCCAGTGTTTAGTCTAAGAATCTTATGTCTTAGTTGTATATTGGAGAAAGTGATAGCAATATTTAGCAAACTTCACTTGGAAATATTCATAAATAATGAATGTCCATAGACATTTTACATTTTAAAAATGATAACAAGCTAAGGTGAAGTCATAAGAAATTGACTTATTTGGAATCAGTTTTAATCTATGCATTTTATATTAGATATAGATTGATAGGGGAGATTGAAAGAGAGGTTCTTTATTCTTAGGTAACTCTTTCCTCTTTTAATAAACTAATTATGTTTTATTTCAGTTTTAATGTTGAACCATTAGCGAATTTTTCTGTTTGCAATACTGTGGTAGTTTAAAATATTCAACTGGAGCAAAAGCAAACTAGTGATTTTTCAACTTTATGTTAAATCCAATGGGTATATATTTGACATGGGTAGTTTTTTAGATGAATATATGATACTAACTTCATTATTTGCTTAGGCTTGCCTTTGTTTTTATTATTTTCTCAAAGTGCCTGCAATATCTTGATGTGTCGGTGCTGGGAGAGCTAGTTCCTAGGTTATGTGAACTGATCAGAAGTGGTGTAGGTCTTGGAACTAAGGTAAGATTGTGTGTTTGTGTGTGTGTAGAGAAAAGTTGTTGTCATTTAGCTAAGGCTGGCCTTCAACTCTATTATATACCGTAGGCTGGTCAATCCTCCTGTCCTAGCCTAATATTGGAAGACGTGTCATACTACACACATTACCACACCCAGTAATGTGTGTCTGTGTGTGTTTATGTATGCCCATGTGTAGATGGAAGTTTCTGTCTGGTCCCACAGTTCCCTTTAGACCCAAATTAACATACAGAGGCTTATATTAATTATAAACTCTTTGGCTTTTTGCTCAGGCTTATTACTAATAAACTCTTACAACTTAAATTAACCCATAATTCTTACCTACTTTTAGCCATGTGGCTTGGTACCTTTTCTCAGTAAGGATTCTCATCTTGCTTCCTCTGCATCTGGCTGGTGACTGTGTCTCTGTCTTTCCTTTTCCCAGAATTCTTCCAGTCTGGTAGCCCCACCTATACTTCCTGCTTGGCTACTGGCCAATCAGCTTTTTATTAATCCAATACTAGTGATAAATCTTTACAGTGAACAAGAACATTATCCCACATTACCTGTGCATGTGGAGCCTACATAATATTTGTTTGTTTATTTTGAAGCAATGTCTCCTATAGCCTCATCTCAGCTCAAACTCCCTATATAGCTGAGGATGGCTTTGAACTTTCGATTCTTCTGTCTATCTTTCCTAGAACTGGGATTATAAGCATCATGCTTGTATGCTATCTTACATGCTATCATGCTCTGCTTGTCTTACAGAACTGGGATTATAAGCATCATGCTTGTATGCTATCTTACATGCTATCATGCTCTGCTTGTCTTACTGTTTTTAGTAAAATTATTTCTGGTTGTCATGTAAGCACTTTTGGATTTTCTATTATTACCAGTCAATGGAGAAACACCCTTATCTGTCAAGGAATATTCATTTTAGATAGTAATTTACTAATTTTCATGTAAGAGCAATAAGTGTTTGGATAGAAAAATATCTTCTTTTTGAGAGTCTTAAAAAAGGTCAGATACTACCTTCATCTGCTTACTTTTTCCTACTGTAAAATTTTGTTGTTGTTGTTATTTTAGACCAAATCTAACTCTGGGGTGTCCCCACACAACTGTTCTGCCTCAGAGTTTGCAGTGCTGGGAATGTGTGTGTCATGACATTCAGCTGCATCTCATTTTAAAAGAAATGACTCATTTCTTCTCATGATAAAGTTATTTCACTTATAGTTAGCATTTATAAATCAGGAGAAAGTTAAAAAAAATCATCTGTTTATGTTTCTGAATGTTTCCCTCCTGTGTGTTTTTTTGCATGCATATCTTCCACATTGTGTTTGTTAAAGGGTATGTGATGTTGCTCTGCTTGTGGCAATACATCCTTTATTTTAGTCAAACAAGGGAGATTTGACTTTTCAGCTTTTAAAAAGAAATTAAAGAACCATACATAAATCTGATTTCTTTGGAAATTCCTCAAAATGAAATTGTTACTGCAGTTGTTTGTGATAACGCATCTTATTTGGAGAATTATGCTTTTTTTCTTTCTTATTCATAGTTCTTGCTCTGTATGTTTACAATGCTTTGCTTTTACTATGTTGAATCCCAGAGGAACTATTAGACTTCATATGGTTTATCTTTAAATTGCTGGGGCCTAAAAGAAGTGGCTTGATAGAACATTGTGACATCACACTTAGACCTTTGTTTTTGTAACCTTAAAGGGAGGCTGTGCCAGTGTCATCGTTTCCTTAACTACTCAGTGTCCCCAGGACCTAACACCTTACTCAGGTGAGTTTGTAATATGTAAGGAGATACTTTTTCATGGCTGTGCTGATTTTAGAGTTTTAAAGGGAAAATTATTTGGACATGCTTGTGTGCTTTGCTTTCATTCAAACTTGACACAGTTGTTTTGTTAGCAAGCTTTTATTGTCTTACAAATAAGTTTCTCAGTGTTGTAAAGAGATAAAAGTACCTTTCATTCTGCAGAACTTTACTCCCTCTTTTTTTTTTTTTTTTTCCTGTTTATAACTAACTTTACATGTTTTTTTTTCTCTCTTCTAGAAATCCTGGTAGAATTTTTGTATATAGCTCTCAATTTTGTATCATTTCCACAATATTCTAGACATAGGTTTATTTTTAATTTTTAAATCAAATGAAAGAAAGGGAGTAGGTAGAACAAATAATATTCAAAAGATCTAAACTACTATGTAGTAAATCTGATTAATTTCAGGGTTATGGGGTGTTTAGTTCTAACAATGTAACAGACTATTTGGCCAACCACACAAATAGATATTTTTATGTATTCCTATAGGTAAACTTATGAGTGCTTTGCTTAGTGGCCTAACAGATCGGAACAGTGTAATTCAGAAATCCTGTGCATTTGCCATGGGCCATTTAGTTCGGGTGAGTTGAATTTCTTACTCAGTTAAGTACAGCTCTGGGAATTACCAACAGCGAGTGAGTAGAGTTGTTTGTTTTCCAGACGTCACGGGATAGCAGCACTGAAAAACTGCTACAGAAGCTCAATGGCTGGTACATGGAGAAAGAAGGTACCTTTTTTTTTCTGTTTTATGTCATTTGTAAGTTTAGGTATTAACCAAATAAACTACTGTTTTTGTAGGAACATTTTTAATTGGTTTATTTAGATCATTTTCCCTGAAAAATAGTAAATGCTTACAAAATTTTGGTTTCTTCTTCTCTTGAGAACCTATCTACAAGACCTCTTGTGCTTTGACTATTCATGCAATTGGAAGATACAGCCCTGATGTATTGAAGAACCATGCCAAAGAAATTCTGCCCTTGGCCTTCCTAGGCATGCATGAAATTGCTGATGAGGAGAAATCTGAAAAAGAAGAATGTAATTTGTGGACTGAAGTGTGGCAGGAAAATGTACCTGGTTAGTAAATGGTAGCTGCAAAGTAAATGTGTTTCTTAAGAACATAGCTGGAATTTTGACTCATATTGTTTCTTCATAATTTTTCAAGGACTTGAACATGTGTCACATTTAATTTTTAGGGCCTCCTAATTTCTAAGTTTTTGAAGTGCCACTCAGAGCTCTTTTCTTTGACTTGTTGCTGTATGTGTGAGAGAATATAAACTTTCTAAACAAAGCAAAACCTTACTTAGGTTAGTTGAATATAATTGTGATTTTATGTGGTCTTAGAGTATTATTGTAGAGCTGTATTTTTAACCTTGATACACATTAGTGATGATAAACTTTTTTGAATAATATCTCAGCAGTATGTCATAGTTCATGAATTCCTGCTGTTACATAAAGAAGCTGCACTACTCCCTGTGTCTAACTTTAGCAAGTGGTGTGTATGGTTTATGAGTTGACAGTCACTGCTTTAGGTAGATGGCACTGACTTACATTTAAAAATTATTTTTAAAATGTTTTCTTGTCACTTGAGAGGTGTTTTAACTTTTCTTTCCTTTTACATGTAGGCTCCTTTGGAGGTATTCGATTATATATGCAGGAGTTGATTGCTATTACCCAGAAGGCCTTACAATCGCAGTCTTGGAAAATGAAAGCCCAGGGGTGCAATTGCTATGGCATCAATTGCAAAACAAACAAGCTCTCTAGTACCTCCATATCTGGGAATGATACTGAGTGCTTTGGTGCAAGGCCTGGCTGGAAGAACATGGGCAGGAAAGGTAAAAGAAACATTCATGTTAAAGAATCAGGACTGTATCTTTCTATAGAGTAGGAATCTGATTTGATGTGACTTTGAATTACTTTTGCAGGTAGGTTTTCTAGCTAGTGAATTTATATCAAAGTATGTCTTATATGTTCTTGAATAAAGCCTAGTAATTTTAGAGATTGGAATATTTTACATATTCAGCTGTAGAAGTTACCTCTTAAACCAGGTCATCATTTTGTGCCCACTGACCTTCAGTAGAGCCAGAATTGGCCATTTGTGAAATTAAGTACATTGAACTACTTCTAATCCTGGCTTGATAATTAGAAACTTCTTATACAACGGGTATAGAAAAAAATATGTATAATGAACATTCCATGGGAAACGTGATTGTGGCAATATTTGCACTGTATTTTGTAAAGTGGCCACCATAGTGTTGTGGTCATAATAATGGATTGCCTGGTGACCTTGGTTACCGGTTCTTGGGCTTTTATGAGTTAGAGATTGGTGGTTTGGGTAGAATTCAGTAATGTGCATAAGTGAATAAATGTTAGTTTTTGTTGTGGTAGTTATAAAATATTCAATGGGGTGATTGTAGTCATAGTGCAAAGAATGTGAAATGTAGGTTTAATAGTATTTCTTCATCTTTAACTTATCAGGAAGAACTACTAAAAGCCATTGCCTGTGTGGTGACAGCTTGCAGGTAAGTATTTTATTAATGAATTTAATGTGAAGCTTAAAGCTATAGTTTTTTTTTTTTTTTTTTTTTTTTTTTTTTTTTTTTTTTTAACTATTCTGATATTTTTGCATGGATTCCATAGTACAGAGTTAGAGAAGTCTGTGCCCAACCAACCCACCACAAATGAAATTCTTCAGGCTGTCTTGAAGGAGTGTTGCAAAGAGAATCTCAAATATAAGATTGTAGCAATCAGCTGTGCAGCTGATGTTTTGAAAGCCACCAAGGAAGACAGATTCCAGGAGTTTTCTGATATTGTCATACCCCTCATCAAGAAGGTAATGGCTACCTGTATCATCTTAGATTTTCCTGTCCTGGTTATGTATTTTTACTAGGACAAGTTTAGCAGTAAAGTAACAGAAAATCCCCAGAATATTATGGCCTCAAACAAGGTAGAAGTTTGTCTTACTGGATAGTTGGAAGCCCCATTAAGTCTTCAGGGATCCTAGAGACGTATTTCTTATACATTGTCCTCACGGTCTGTGGTTTGTGTTTCAGGCAGATGACCAAGGATATAAAGTTAGGATCATAGTAAAACATTTAATTTCTCTCAAGAAAATTTCTAGAAACAGAAACATATTGCTTTGATTCGCCTTCCATTGCTAGCACATAGCCCCATTTGGCAGCAGATGAGGCTAGGAAAGGTAATTTTTCATATGGGCACTCTTTCTCCACCTGTGGGAGGAGGAAGAGAGTACCTATATAGTGAATAGCTCTTAATAAATTCTACCTTGCCAGCATGTGCACATGCCAAGTAGTCATTTAGTGTGAAGACAAGTATTGTGTGTTGTATAGTACACCTCTGCATTGTCTTGGGGAATTTTGGTTGTAAAGAAAAATGACAAATACTTAATTTGAAACTGAAGTACTCATCTTTTAATAAAGTGGACATTGCAAGGAAAGAGGGATGTAGTTGGTCTGTTTGTTTTGGTTAGTTTTGAGACAGGCTCATTTTATTATGTACTGACGGCCATCCTAGAACTCACCATGTAGCTGTGTAGACCATTGTAGCCTCAAACTCACAGAGAGCTACCTGCCTTTGCCTCCTGAGTCCTGAATAAAAGGCATGCACCACCACTCCTGGCTTGATCTACTTATTTTTAAAGCATCAAACATTATCGCTTGTGTTGCTCCTAATTCATATATCTGTTTTCTTTCAGTAATAAGGCTGTTTTAGGTATTTCTGTGGTAATGTATGGGTTTTGGAGATTGGTATTTTAAATAGATTATGTTGTCTGTGAACTTGTTTAATTACTTCTGGCTTCTTTACCAGTTTTTCAAAAGTTGTGTTTGGGTCATTGCTAAGTTCTCTCCATCTTTAATTCTCTTGATTCAAATGCACATCTTTGTAAGTTACTCTCAGAGTAGTACATATTCGGCATTTTTTTTCACTTTCATTTACAAATTCTTTTAAAGTATTTCTGAAATTTATTAGAAATGTATACTCTTAATACAAACATAAGAACTCATGGTAGAGAACTTAGCATTTAGTTCTTGGTCAATATCTCCTGTTCTACACTTTGATTGTTTTAATAGTATAACTGTAATTTGAAGAAGGAAATAATACAATTTTCTTTACCTTTTTTGAAATGTCCTAGAACTCACTTGAAAGCATGGGAGTTCGGAGCACCAAAGGTGAAGATGAAAATGATAAGGAAAGAGAGCTGCAGCTGGAGTCTCTGCTGGGTGCCTTTGAGAGCTTGGGCAAAGCCTGGCCCAGGAACCCAGAAACCCAACGTAAGCATCCCAACACAAACTTGTAGAAGTCCTGTAGCCAGAAGTCACTTGGCAAGAACACAGAGTTTCTTCATGGCTTAGTAATAGTTCTTATGTAGTCTGAGTATTAATAGTGAGAATATCCTATATCTATTTTACTCTTACACCAGCAAATAAGTACATGATTGGATCACTGTAGTATTAGGGATACTTTAGGAAAGTATCACAGGGGCATGGAGAAATAACTCAGTGGTTAAGCACATTCACTAGCTGCTCTTCTGGAGGACCCAATGAGTTTGAGTCCAAGCATTCACATCCATCTGTAACTCCTGACCCAAGGCATCCAAGAGCACTCATGTGGTGCACAGATAAACATCCTGACAAAACACCCATACACTAAATAAATAAATAAATAAATAAGAAAGATAAAGGTAAAAAATATATCTTTAAAACAAAAGTATCACAGACTGGATGGTTCAAGCAACATATTTTTTTTTTTTTCCTTCTTGATTTTGATGGGTAGAAGTAAGTACAAGATCAAGTAGACTTGGCTTCTTCTGAGACTTTTCTACTTACTTTGTGAATGGTTGCCTTTCTTGTCTTTACATGGCTTCCTTCTGTGCTGCTGTGTCCTGATCTCTAGTAAAGGGATTAGAAGCCTACAATATTAGTAGAATTCCTTCCTTTCAAAATTGCTGGCCTTGCTATCAAGTCTTCAGTAAGCAAGTGATAGTTATTTTATTGAGAAACTCATGGCATAGATTTTCAGAATTAAATATATATTAACAAAGGATTAAAAATAGTAAACCTTGATTAATGGTTCAAGTTGTAGTTACAGCCGGCCCATTGACAAGGCCTTATATTTGAACAGATGCTAAATATTTTGTCTTGTTCTAGGAACTACAGTCTGTCCCAATGAATTATCTCTGTATTTATTATTTGTATATGTATATTTTCTTTGTATAGTATATTTTCTTTGAGCCCATCATTCTTTGTGTAGCATATGAAGAATTTCTCAAAAAAAATTATCAATTTGTGAGTGGTTATGAACTATAGTGGAAATTGGATTGCTTGATTAACTTGCCTCATAGCTAGAGAAGGGTATAAAATACTGCTAAGAGTTTGGGAGAAATTCCATGTCCACAATTAAAGGCATTTTTTTTGTGCCTTTCCTCCACTTTTGTCTGTTTTTAATGCTGCATATTCTTTTTCTCTGTCCCTCCTTTGTTATCTCTCACTTTTTACATATTCCCTCCTCTGACCCTCTTCATCTTCTTCCCAGGTTGTTATCGTCAGGAGCTGTGCAAACTGATGTGTGAACGACTAAGACTCAGCACATGGAAAGTGCAGCTAGGTGTCCTCCAGTCGATGAACGCCTTTTTCCAGGGGTAATTTGCTTCATGATTCAGGTTTTTATTTTATTTCCCTATTGAATGGAATTCTTAACATTTGCACATTTTTAAAATAGAAAATAGATTCTTTTCTCACACAGTATATCCTAATTATAGTTTCTCCTCCTTCTACTCCTCCCCCACTTCCCTCCCTTCTGGTTCTACTCCCTCTGTCTCTCATTAGAAAAGAACAGATTTTCTAAGAGATAACAACCAAAAGTGACAAAACAAAAACTATCGTATCAAAGTTGTACATGCAACCTAGCAGGAAGAAAAGTCTCGAAGAGCTATCACTAAAGTCAGAGACCCACTCATTCTTGGTCAGGAGTCCCATAAAATATTAAGCTAAGAGCTATAATGTGTACTCAGAGGTCCAGGTGTAGACCCATGTAGATATGGTACTTGCTGCTTCCATCTCTGTGAGCTCATATGTGCCTTGCTTAGTTGATTCAAAGGGCTTTTTCTCCTGGTGTTCTTAATCTCTGGCTCTTATAATCTTTCTGCCTCTTATTCAGAGGAATTCTTTGACCTCTGATTTGATGTAGATCTCTCATTTAGACTCTCTCTACATAATGTCTGGCTGTGGGTCTCTGCATCTGTTTCCATCCTCTTCTGGAGGAAGCCACTTTGATGATGACTGGATAAGGCACTGATGCATGAGTACGGCAGAATATCATTAAGAGCCATTTTATTGATACCCATTCTTTTTAGATCAATAGTGTTTGGTTTTACCCTAGATCTCTGGGCTACATAGTTTCTGGTTCTTGGTCACCTAAGCTGTGTCAGGTGTGGATTCCTTCTCAAGGAGTGGGTGGCCCTTAAGTCAAAATAGGTATTGGTTGGATGCTCACACAAATTCTGTGCCAACATTGCCCTAGTGTATTTTATAATCAGGACAGATGATAGGTCAAAGGTTTTGTGGCTGAGTTAGTGGCCCCCCTTTTTTTGTTTTGTTTTTCTGGTAGACTGCAGAGGACTTTTCCACACCAAAGAGACTAAAATGTAGCGGTAAAGGCTCCCTGTAGACACTAGTTCAACATCTCCATGTTCAGTGAATTGTGTGGGTGTTGTCCTGGGCAATGGGACTCCACTATCAGTTTTTAGAGAGCAACCTTTTGTCTTAGCAATAGCCTGAGTTTTTTGAGGATTTCTGTGAGACCCCCTCCCCCCTGCCTGACCAACATCTCAGTTGAATGCAGCCCAGTCCCATAAGCCTCACCTGGCTACAAAAGATGGCCAGTTGAGACTCGGTACCCGTCATTATTCACCTTCATAGATTCCAGGAAGTTTTCACTGCACTATGCTTCCATACCACCCTGCAAATTCCCCCCAGCTCCAGCCATCTCTGCCTTCTTTTCCTCACCCCATGTCCTCCACAGCTTGTAGTTTCTTGCCCCCTCCCCTCCCTCCTACCAGCCTGCCTTTAAAATCTATATTCCCCTCCCAGGAAAATTCATGCATTCCCCCTAGACCCTTTCTCTTTATCTAACCTCTCTGGGTCTATGGATTGTGGCTTAGTTATCATTTATTTAACAGCTAATATCCACAGATAATTGAATACATACCATATTTATCTTTCTGGGTCTGGGTTCCTTACTCAGGATGTTTTTTTGTTTTGGTTTGTTTTTTGTTTTTATGTATTTTTGTTTTGTAGTTCCATCCCTTTGCCTGCAAATTTCATGATGTCATTTTTAAACAGCAAAATAATACCGTATTGTGTACATTTACACAGTCTTATAATTAATTTAGATACTACTAGTATATGAAATATCATGATAAGTGATATGTACAGATAGAAGTTATGCTAGGAAGGTTTTAAACTGTTAGTGTTGAGTGACATTGTATGTCACTTTTATGTTTATAGGTTAATGCTTTTGGAGGAAGAACATGCAGATTCTGAAGCTCTGGCTGAAATTCTTCTTGAAACTTGTAAATCAATTACTTACTCTTTAGGTGAGTGTAACTAGAATTTGAATAGTTTTTTGTTGCTGTTATTTATTTTGTTTTTGATGCTGGTGCTGGTGATCAGGCACAGTCCTTCATGCGTGCTCTTAGGCAGGCACTCTACCACTCAACTATATATCTTCACCCCTTCTTTGTTTTGAGTCAGGGTCTCTTTTAAGATATTTGTTGCTGTGAAGAGACACAATGACCATAGTAACTCCTACAAAGGAAAACATTTAATTGGGGCTGACATAACAGTTTCAGAGGTTTAGTCCATTATCATTATAATGGAAAATGGCAGTGTTCTGGCCAGGCATAATGCTGGAGAGGTAGCTGAGAGTTTTGTATCTTTATTCACAGGCAGCAGAAGACTGAGTGCCACACTGGGCTTAGCTTGAGCGTATGAGATCTCAGTGCTGGCCCTATAGTGACACACTTTCTCTAACAAGGTTATATCTACTCCAACTAGGCCATATCCTCAATAGCACCACTCCCTATGGGCCAAGTATTTAAACACATGAGTCTATGGGGTCCATTTCTATTCAAACCACCACAGTCATCATACTCAGCTCAAGTAAACCTGATTTTAAAACTAAGGAGCTGAGTCTTAGGATCTAGCTGTCTGGATCATTGCTGACTGTTCTATTTATATACCATATGTACCCTGACAAGGGTGTTTTATCCGGAATTACAGTAGAATTTTAGATTTACCTTTACGTCAGCATTAAACATTTTTTAAAAATAGTTTCCAGTTTTATAAAACTGTTAAAATAGCTCAGTTAGTACCTATATATACTTAACAGGAGTTATCAGCTAACACTGTTGTCCCCTTTATCTTTTGGACTTCTTTATCTTTATCCTGAGCCCTTCAAAAGTGTATTGATTATAACATGTTCCTTTATTTTTAAGTTCTTGAGAGTATATTTTTTTTAATTAAAACTGTAGTTATCAAATTTATACAATATTGCATGAATGCAGGTTTTACCAGTTTTTTTTTTTTCTCATTCATATTGTAATTTCTCAAGTAATTTTTTGGTTGGATCTCACATCCCCTTCAACTCTCCATTAAAACATACAGCCCAGGACCAAATATTAAATACAATTATCATAATTTTATAGTTTATCACACACACACTCTCTCTCTCTCTCTCGCTCTCATTTCCCTTAGACAGGGCTTCTCTGTATAGCCTTGGCTATTCTTGAACTTGCTCTGTTGTCCAGGCCGACCTCTGCCTCCAGAGTGTTGGGATTAAGTGGTGCACCATCCTTCACTCCTGGCCTTTATAGTCACTTCTCATTTGGCACATTCCTTTGGCCTCTCTTTCTCTTATATTATACTCATGATTTTGAAGGATAAAGCCTTTCCCTCCTTTTTTTGAAAAAATAACAATTCTCATTTGTTGTTTGTTTGGCATTTCGTCAGGCTTGGATCTAGCTTATGAATTCTGATGTTAATGTGTTTTTCCTCACATCAAGAGGTATGCAATGTTCACAGCTTTCCTAATTTTTCATTGTTAACTTTGTTTACCTAGTCGAGGTACTGTGGATTTTGTCTCTAATATCATTCTTATTTTTCCTTGTATTTAATAGCATACTTTATTATTATTATTATTATTATTCAATTAATCTCTTCAATCTATTAAACAGTTTGTGAGAAGACACTATAAGACCATGACTTACATGTATTACTCTTTGAAGTTTATCCTTTAGATTTTGTATGCATTGATGATTCTTCTCTAAGCCAGTTCTTTTCTATGGTGTTATTTTTTTTTTTTTTTTTTGTCAACTCTAGGCCTTTCTCCACATTAACTATTTGGTAGTTGCCATTTTAATTTGAACAAGATTCTTCTCTTCTTCCTATTTCTTTATTTATGCATCATTAGTCATTATTAATTCATAACTCCCCACACACACCAACCTCTCAATGTTTTATAACTAATTATTTTTAGGAGTTAATTTTAATTATGTGTACTTACACTAGTGTCCTCACAGTCCAGAGGTGTGAGGTTCTCATGAAACTGAAGTTACAGACTATTGTGAGCTGCCAGTGTGGGTGCTACGACTTCAACTCTGGGCCTCTGAGCTGCATGAGGATTACATGGTGCTGATCCATCTCTCTAGCTCCTGATTATTGTCATTAATTAATTTGTTATTTAATTGTCTTAGATATTACTAATGAAAGTCTCTGCAAGCTGATTCCCCTGTCCCTTTGAGGGGGGTCACTATCATTTTTTGTAGTACTTCACTTCCCTGGACTTAGATGCATAGTAATTTTGGTTAGACAATTCTCCAAAAAACTCAGTGCCTTTTGTGAATGAGTATGTACCAACAAAGCTTGTTTTGTTTGTAATTCTTGGAAGTAGCATGCTTTTGTGGCTATAGAGCTGTAAGCTAAATGAGGATCATGCAGATCAAAGCCCTGTTTTATGTATGACATAATTATGACATGTGTTTGGGATAGTGTGTTTTGATCTCCTGTGTCTAAGATGAGTCTTTCAAACATTAAATATATTAGGGCTAATATATTTGGCTGTCAACAGTGCCTCAAAATAATGAATGTGGACATAGAGCATAATTTAAATATTTGATAATAATTACCAAATAGAAGTTTTCTTCAAAAATGAATCCACAGAGTTTTAACTTTTTATGTTTCGGTAACACTAATTTACTCTTGGGAGTTCTGTTTTTAAAACATACTTATGAATTGCCTATTTTCCTCCTTAGAAAATAAGACCTACTCATCTGTGAGAACAGAAGCTTTATCTGTGGTAGAATTGCTGCTTAAAAAACTTGAAGGTGAGTTCTGATTAGAGTACCAAAAATCCAGGATACTTTGTGACATACACTTTCGGGATATTTTTTATTTGTTTTTGCTAATGGTGTAAAATACACATTAATGTATATGCACATACAAGTAGACTATAGAGAACTAAAGTCATTAAATTTTAAAGATTTCAGATTTTTTTTTGCATGTTCTTCTTTTTTAATGTAAAAGTATCATTCTCATATGAATACAAAATGGAAACATATCAGTGATTCCAATAGCTTATGATAACAGAGTCAGTCAATGTGACAAGAAAACTATTCTGGACTTTAAAGCTCAGGTGGATTTCCCTGGCTGGCAGTACCACAGATAAATTGTCACACATGATTGTTTGGGGACAAGTAAGCAATATATATGGAAGAAAACAACAGAAGCCTATGAAAGATTTCAGTTTTGTTCCCTATATTTATACATTTCTAATGAATTATTAAGCTATAGTTATCTTGAGAAGTAATTGAAGTTTTTTCATCGTGAACTTTTATATAATCTTGGTTATCACAAGAAATGGTTAGTTATGATAGAGCAGAGCTTGTGGGGTGTATGTTTAATAACAGGCTGTTTTATCAGAGACCCAAAAAGCATGTTTTTGTCCTACTTTCTCTGTCTTTAAGAAACCTTACAAATGCTGTGTTGTGTTAATGGGAGAAGAAAAACAGCTTCTTTTTTTCCCCCTGTTACATATCTGTGTCTATTCCTCCTTCCTCCTCCCTTTCCTTCTCCTTTTCCTAGTCTCCTATTCCATGAATTAGTAGTGCAGAGATGAAATGGTTTTCATCATAAACTTGTGAGTTTGACATTTGTACTTTCCCTCTTTTTGCTTAGCAACACCTATCCTAGGTATCTGCAAAATGGGCCTTTTAGACTCAGGATAACTAAATATCACCTAGTGTATTTTTTTTTTTTTTTTGTCTTAAAATAAAAAAGCTTAGCCATATGGTTGAATTCCAAGTTTTCTAGGTAGATATTAGATGTTCAAGATGACAAAAGTAAGCTCAAACAACTTGCTTAAAGCTGGACATGGTAGTATAGGCCTATAATCCCAGCCTCGAGAGGTAGAGACAAAAGGATCAGGAGTTTAAAGCCAGTGTGAACTACATGAGATCTTGATGCAACAATAATTACTTACTTTAAGGCACATCACTAAAAGTGACAATGTTATAAATGGAGTTAAGATTTGCTTTCTTATTTTTTTTAAGTATCACAGTGTTTATTGATAGATACAGCTATATAAATAAAATCAGGGCATGAACATGATAAATTAAGTAGACGTAATTTCAATACTGTAATAAGAGGGACCAATCCAAATTCTCACCATTTGTTTCACACTCTGAAAAACCACTTCAGGGCATTAAAGATCTCTCAAAACTGATCAGTTTTGTGTAGGTAAGCCATCTTTCTTTTAAAAAGACTTGTGCACTTGCCCAGGCTCAAGGATATTCAAATCTAGCACATAAAGCCCATTACTAGAGGTAGAAATACAGGCAATATACTATTTTGGCAACAACCATCAATTATAGTTAAAAAATTTCTCTGTAACAACCAAATGGATAATCAAATACTGCAGCAATTCAAGTGTTACTGAGCAAAGTGCATCTCTACAGTATTCAGTATTGCTATTCAGTTTTCTAACTTAAAACAGCTTATCTTATTTTTTTTTTTAATTTCAGTATATATATGGTTCTCCAGGGCTTTTTAAAGGAAGGGTAATAAAGTGTTAGCTACTTAAACTGTACAGTTTTGAAACTTCCCTTTTTTTGCATGTGATGTGGCTGGGATGACTACTTTGCCCCTGTGCTTTGATGCTTCGTTCTTCCCAGTTTGCTGCTATATAAGCTTATCTTCCTTGTCTCATTCTTACTGGGGAAGGGGTGAAACTCCTGACATGCTTTCAGGCTGTTGTCAGGGATTGGGTTTGAGACTTCTATCCAACCTGTGATTGTTATATACCATTCTCTTAATTATAGAGTTGCTGTGTGATTGTTTCGGGGATAGGATATATTGAAGAAAGGGTTAAGTTTTCTTTTTTTCTTCCTTGATTGTTCTGTAATGATTTTCTTCCTGTTTTCTCCCCATTTAGAAGCTAAACAGTGGGAAAGTTTGACGGCGGAATGTAGAAGACTTTTGGTTGAGTCTTTAGCTACTATGGAGACAGACAACAGACCTGAGCTGCAGGAGAAAGCCACAGTATTGAAGAAAACACTTGAAAGTCTGGAATGAATGAGAATGGGAAAAAACAAACAAGTGCCATGTTCTTTTGGGATTGGAAGTTTGGAAATGGTGGTATTCTTTAAAAACCAAGGTGGGGGGGGTGGGAGTAAAGATTACTCTGTAGCATGCATCATTCCTTGGCTGAAATAAAAAAAAAAAAAAAAAAAACCCTTAAATTTTGCTCCTTTTAGCTTTATTTTACTTGTCTTTAAAGTATGTGGGCTAAATGAGCTTAATAGAACTTGGGTTTTCAAAAGGTAGTTGTAAATAAGTATGCCAGCCATCATTGCTAAAAAGAACTGAAAATATTATAAATGAACTACAGGGTAAGCTGAATTAAAATCTTAGCACTACATCCATGCTAAAATTATTTCAGGAAGGGACCCTGTAAATCACTTGACTTATAACCCCATTTCTTGCACACCTGAAGTAATAGGAGTGGGGATGACAGCTTCCTTTCTAAGGCTGGAGTCAAGGCCATACCCAGAATTTAATGTCCTGTCCTGGAAACTTTTCTCAACCAGTTACCAAGCCAATGTTTCCTTGCCCTGCCCTAGAAATTCCCAAAGGGAGCTAAACCCTTATTTATCACTTTTGAAAGTCAGATTATGCACATTGCCTGTGATAGGTAATCAATTTTTAGGGAATGGTTGTTCAGCATTTTTATAGGTTGAGAATAATTTGGGTTCCATAAAATTCTGGTCAAAGTCCTTATACCTGAAGATGAAAATAGATGGGAACAAGATATTTTCTACTTCTTATTGTGATGCATACAGTGTGACATGGTTGGATAGATGGAAAGCCTTTCATTTAACTGTCTAAGAATTTCTCTTCCTTAAATGCCCTTTCTCAAATTGGCATACCACTCCAGGAAAACTGTCGTTGCCAGGGTCTCCCCCTGATTTCTGCTGCTCCTGCACCTGCTGAAGGGTGCAAAGTTAGTTTAACTTAAGTGTTTATGGTAAGCTAAAAATTCTATACCCTGTCTTGGGTTCTGGAGCACAAAATAGATTTATACATTCAGTACTGTCCCCTTGATGACATCAACACCTGAAATTTCTGTGGTCAATATTTTTGGTGGAAACTCCATTTTTATTAGTTTGGTATTCTCCAGATCAGTGTATTTAAAATATTTTGAACTGTGACTCACAATAAAAATAACCTTTTACATCATGACCCAGAATGTGTGTGTGTGTGTGTGTGTGTGTGTATTTATGCATGTTTGAATGTAAAAATCTTTAACTGAAATAAATACTTCAAGAAGAAATAGTTGCAAAGTTTGATATACTTTCATCTGAGGTGTGTGTCTTATAAATGTTCTTCAGACTCACTGAATTCATTTCCTAACTCATAACTAGGTTGCTATTCCAGTTTGAACAACATTGAGAGTACCTAAATTTCTACTAGGGTTTGAAATTGTTTCTGGTTGAAAAACGGTTTACAACTAAAACCTTCAGTGCTCACTTAATTATCATCTTTGCTGATTCAGGACTGTACTAGTGACTTTGTAGAATGTGATGAATTTTAAGCAATCTGGTGTAGATTGTGTTTAAGAATGACTTTTGCATTAGAGAAAAACGAATGGCTTCAAATGTTCTTCAGAAAACTGATCTCTCAGGACTTGTGGTTTTGGATCAGCATTGAATGCACTAAGGATGTATCTGATTTACATGTGTAGTAACCAGGGTACTTCCTGGGCAAGAAGAATACAATGCAGGTCAGGTGTGCTGAAGGTGAGCATGTAAGGGCAAGAATGATATACTTGGTCTGTAGCACATATTGAAACCTCATCAAATTTTATGCTTTTAAAGCATTTTGTTATTTAATATTGGGACTTTCCCTTGGTGCTGAGAGTGGTGCTAAGACACCTTAAACTTAGTGCTATTGAACTGCATTTCTTTTTCTTCCTGAGTACATTTCTAATTTATATACTTAATGCCTTCATGTTTGCTAGCCAACATTTTCACAGCTAGTAATTCTATGTTACTGTTTCAAGTGTGGTTTGTAGTTGGCATACATATGTTTATTTTAAAAGGTTAATAATCAGGACTTTGTAATTGTGGAACGTTGGTACTGGTGAAAAAGTGGTAAAGGTACCTGTACATTAATCATCAGCCTTTATTTGCAAAAGCAATCTTGAAAAGGTTTGATTTTTCTCTATATATTCACTTCTGTTTGCCATGCAGGTAACTCATTTGTAGGATCTGTTCCTTATTCCTGCCATTAGTTCACTAACTATATCTTTATTGATAACATGAAAAGGAGATGTTGAAAATGTGGCATTTGGATTAAACATGAAAATGGTCTAGTTTTGATGGTCAAGAGAAGCTATTTATTTAATGTTTGTGCCCAATTTATAATTCCTAGGGGATCTTGTCTGTAACACAGTCCACCTACATAAGGAGGCTACCAAATCCCCATTGCTTTGCCCTTCCATTTTTTTTTTTAAACTCAACAAGAAAAAGAGTAAAGATATGACCTCACTGGTTGGTGCTCCATGAGCAATTGTGCTGTGTGAGCACTGGCTGTCCTTGTGGAACATTTCTACCTGCTGCTGTCACAGTATATTCATGCTGCTTGTTAAGTTCAGGGAGTTATTTTGACATTGGCACTTACTGAACTGTGCAATCTGTCATTAAATGGATGTATATGTAACAGATTTTTGTATTTTATATGCAACTTCTTCTTAGAGCCTCTGCAATATGTACTTAGCTACCTAAGCATGAAATAGACTTATTTGAAAGGAAAACCTCACCTACACCCCAAAGATATTAAATGGTAAATAAAAGCTGCATGACTTGGTGTTTTGAAGTAGTGCTTTTAGTTTTTATTAGTTCTGTTGGAAAGTAATCTGACTGCTAACACTTTGACTAGTTGTATTTTAGGAAGGGTGGGAGGAGAGAGATCTTATGCCATATTCCCCATATGTCTAATTAATAGAAACTTCTGGCTGGGAGTTCCAGACATCATGAACTGCTTTCATGATAGAATTTCCTGATAAAAGTGACTACATGAGCATATGGGAACAGCAGGCATCTGGGATTAAAACATTGTTTACTCCCAAGTGAGATTACCAGCCTGAGCTGTTACAATGCTTTTAGTAATCTTGTTCTATTGGTTTCAAATTGATGAGAAAGAATGTTACAAAACATGAAAATGAGTCTTTCAAATGATGTTTATGGAAAGATTTAACAGTTTATTTTCCTTTAAAAATGGTATGGAGGGAGGGTAAGATGGTAGATGAAATGTTTTCTTCAGGTGACTCGGTAAGTGAGAAGAGTCAATAGTAAAGGAGAAACTAGGCTATTCTGAGGAAAGAGAAGATGACTGACCATCAGTAATAAAGAAGATGAGAAGCATGGAAAATCTGGAATGTTTTGAAGAAAATTAACAGCTCACAACTCCAGCCCCTTTTTTTTTTTTTTGCCAGGAAGGGGGACCTAAGGCCACAACTAGATGGTAAGTCAGGCAGCCCTGATGATGGCATATTGATAGCCCTATAGGAGATGCCTATAGTCTTCAAACACCTTAAATACAGTCTGACAGTGACTCCTATACTGCAGGCTAGCCTAGAGTAGAAATACATTAATTTATTTCTCTTTACATCTTAGATTCCTTTATAAATAGCCAGGCATCTTTACCTTGAGGGGGAGCCTAGTTGAGGTTGAGCAACTTTGGAGATGTGAGGAAGAAAAATCTCAAGGAACAGAAGGATACCCTGAATGATATCTTAGTGGGAAAGGGTTTTGAGAGGCAGCTGTGCAGGTCAAACTTTAAGTAGTCATGAGCTCATTGAGGGGGTGGTGGTTGGCGATCTGTAATCTGTTACTGCAGAGACCTCAGTTGCTTGCCTCAGAGTTGCCTCCATTCTGTGTATGTGGTTGGCTGTTAGGTGAAATGGTTCTGGGAATGACTAGGATTTCACAGCCTTCTTTCTACCACAGGGTTATTTATAGCTAGGGAATGTAATCCCAGCCATTAGCCAGCATTTAGAAAACTTAAAATGAATAGGGAGATCCAGAAGAAGTGAATAAACTAGATGTGATCTGTCAAAATTCAACTGTAGAGCAAAAACAATAATAGTTCCCTGACAAAGAATGGCTCAGTACTAGATGGATTCACAACTGAATTGTACCAACACTTAGACTGTCCCATAAAACTTGAAAAAGAATGTGTCCCAACTGACTCTACAAATTTGGTATTATTCTAATAGCAAAATCTGTAATGAACACAACAAAAACTGTAGGTAATTTTCTTAATACTGATGCAAAGATTTTAATATTGTAAATAAAATTTAACATAATTAAGATCATATACCAACATTAGTTTCATCTCATGTAAGGGTGATACATTAATGGCAAACCAATAAATAGAAAATAGCATATAAATAAAATACAAAAATCACGTCACTTGATGAAGAAAATAGTTTTGATAAAACCCAACATTTCTTCATGGTAAATCCCTTAAAGAAACTAAGAATAGAACTGATGGGAGATGTCATTCTGTATATGTTTCTCATACTGGTTAATGAATAAAGCACTGTTGGCCAATAGGAAAGTTAGGTAGGCGGGACTAGGAGATGAGGAGGAAAGAGGAAGTAGATAGGAGGAGTCAAGATGGAGAGTCTGGAGAAGGTAGAACCCCCAGCCACCTCTCCCTGGTAAGACCACTTGGAAATACATAGAAATGGGCTAATAATTAAGACAGAGCTAGCTGATAAGAAACTAGTACCTGGCCAATAGCATAATATCAAATACAGAGTCTGTGTGCATTAATTGGGGCTGGCGCGGCGGGGTGGCAGGACAAGACAAGAGACAGTGGGCAGAAAAACCGTACTCCTTACAAATGGCACACACTTGGCTTATAAGAACTTCCACTTAAAATTTAACAAAAGCTTAAAGAGTTTTAGAAACAAAAGAACAGAGACAAGCAAGGTTTCTTGGTAGCAGCATTTTTCTCAGTTGGACTCTGACTTGCGAGAGACAAGCAGATTATGCGGCTCCTTTAAGAGAGGTTTCCTGACTCAGCATAAGCGGCAAAAAACCGCACGGCTTTTAAAAAAGCACTGCTAACAATTTATTGGTGTGTATCAGAGCTGGCAATGGCAGTGACCACATCTCCAAGCTGGCAACCTGCTGCTTGCTGCCCATAGACCAAGGCAGTGACCATAGCTCTCACTGCTGGCAGTAAAATAGCCGCCACCATCTTGGATAGACCGAGGCAGAAACAACAAAGACTTTCATTTTAGCAATATTG